TACATTAATTCACTGAACACATCCAAATAGCATATTAAAAGTACTTGTCCTTGCAAAAGAAGAAAACCAAAAACTTTTCCAAATGCTTATACAGCAAGAAACATTTTTCATTTATTCTGTTACTATAAATAAATTCAACTATATTTGCTGGTCTCCAAGTCAGAAATAGTCCATGCTGGATGAAATGTAATGCTCTAATCAACATCTTTATCCTTACATATATATCAGAAGTGATGAAATTCCCAGTACTACACTGAAATAGCTCATATAAAAGTGACTTAAGCCAAGATTCTCCTAAGGTCTCCCTCAATAGTGAGAAGTTACTACGTCAGCCACCCTTTTTTTAACCCATCACTAATTAAAAGAAGATCTGGCCTTGTAACCTACGGCTTCACAGAGGACCTCCACAGAACTGTAGGGACCTCCTTCTCTATAAAGAGAACTGGTAAAGAAATGATGTGCCTCCAGTTTTCATTGGCTTCACCCATGCGTTTGCTAGAGTGAGGAGTACTTTTGTTAATGGGGATTCCAGGAGTGCATTTCTCCCTGCTGCAGTGCTAACCAGGCAGCTGTGTCCACCTGCCATGCCCCTGGACAGGGGGAAATGGGGCAGCAAATGGGAAGATGTAAACTGATATTTTCCCTCTAGCACTGAAATTGCCTCTCAAAACGTTGGGAAGTGCTGTTCTGGCTTGTATTTGGAGAACGTTGTAACCTAGCATGTTACATTCAGGGTTGGCCTTATTTGATGAACAAGCGACGTGTACTTCATCTCAGGGCAACTGACTGGCATACAGTATCCTGAGGTACAAAAATACAGAGCTGCTGAGGCATCAATTATGGGATGGGATTTTGGACCCTTTTCCTTCCTGCAGGATTAAAAAGCAGGGCTTTACTGATGACTTTATTATTTCAGCATAAATCCTGTGCACTTGTTGCTCCAAGATGAGCACCTTTCATAGTGAGAAGAGACCATTACCAAAGATGCATTCAAATACTAGTGTGAATGTTGCTTACAAAGAAAGCTGGAAAGAAATTTTACCAGGTACTGATAACTTTCACTGTTCATCGACTTTTCACTCCTGCTGGAGTTTGACCTTGTCGTACAAGTCATACAAGTTAATTTTTAAATCTTTAATGCTTCAAAAGCAAGAGTGACCCAGTTTGTTGTACTTCTGACTCAACCGCACTGAGAATTTCTGTAAGAGCCACATGGATTGCTCTAAAGAGCCTCCAAGCTATTAAGTATATTTGTAAGCTGCTCTTCTGTAAGCACTGCAAAATAATAATCATTCAAAAAGAGAACCATATAATGTTGTGATATACTTATCTTTAAAAGGTGCTTTAATAACAAATAGATTTTCTACTTTATGGCTGTTGGTAGAGCACTTCCAGTCAGCTGGAAGATCAACTTTAAAGTAAGTTTTAAGGTCATTTTTAATTTACAGGTAAAGTGTATCATAGACTCATAGAATGATTTGGGTTGGAAAGGACCTCAAGATCACTGAGTTCCAACCTCCCTGCCATGGGCAGGGATGCTTTGCACTGGACCATGCCACCCAAGGTTCTGTCCAACCTGTCTTTGAACACTCCCAGGGATGGCGCATTTACCACTTCTTTGGTCAACCTGTTCCAGTGCCTCATAGCCTTTTTAGCACTGAAGCGAGGATTGCTCCATCCCTGTCTCCTGCTTTGCTCTCACTGCCAGCTGCTCACCCGAATGAAAGAGCAGGAATATTTGTTCTTTTACAAAGGCAGACCTTCAATGGACTAGTTTTAATGTAATTTGTTTGTGAAATCCCTCACCATGGATCAGCAGAAGTTGTGATGGTGTACTGCATTCAGCTCTGGGACCTCCAGAATAAAAAGGACATGGACCCATTGGTGTGAGTCCAGAGGAGACCACAAAGATGACCAGAGGGCTGGAGCATCTCTCATATGGAGACAGGCTGAGAGAGTTGGGCTTGTTCAGCCTGGAGAGGAGAAGGGTTTCGGGAGACCTTAGAGCAGCTTCCAGTGCCTAAAGGCGGCTACAATAAATCTGGAGAGGGACTTTTTACAAGAACAGGTAGAGACAGTGGCACTCACCCACTATGTGAAACCCTGGGTCAAGCCCCTTGTGATAGGACTGAAAAGTGAAATCAGATCTGCTGGATGTGATGCATATTTTGCTGTCACCTATTCCTACTTTCCTGCTCTGGGTCTGACCAGATGTGCCATTTTGAATCACAGGACACTCTCCTGGGGACATTTTAGTCACTGAAAATATATTCCCATGAAAAAATTAAATTGACACACTGGAATTTTGCCATCTAGACAGTTTAGAGATTTAAGCAATCTCTACACAGCTTAGGAATTCTGGCTGCAACTATGACATTTGCACATGCCTACCCATTTAAATCAACTGACCATTCCATCTCCATCTTGCCACAGTTTGGAGGGGCAGTGCCATGTGCCCACCAAACACAGAACAGTGGCAGTGACTGCTGTCCTCTCAGTGGAAGCCAAGTTCCCCCAAAACTCCTGCTCTGGGTGGACAGCTTTAATGGAGAAAGGAGGAACAGGAGCAATGGGTGAAGTTGCCTCGTGCCAAATCACTGACTCCTTACTGGTTTGCTAAAGCTGATCAGGAGGCCTCATGACTGGAGTAATAGGGAAGTTCAGAAAGGACAGTTAAAACTCCCACATGTACTTTTAGTTGCTCAAGCTGAGGCAAGCCACTGCAAGAAAAGCAGGCAAATTCTGAGTACCACCAAGAAGATTTAAGTGCTTCACTAACTGCACGTTTAAGAGTGTTTTACTCTTTCATTAAAGAAGCACTTTACTTTCTGTCCCCAGAAACCCTGAGCAAAATCTTTACATATTGTCCACATCTGGGACAATATTTAAACTCTCAGGAGGTATTTACTTCAAGTTCTTTTAGGGGCCAGCTGTATTCCAGAGCACCCCAGGGAAGGTGGGTCTTGTGGCCTGTCTTGTGGCTAACAAAACAGAAACTAGGGTGGCTTTGGCAGTACTGATAGGCAAACTCACTGGCAATGTGTTGTCAGTGTAAAATTAGAATAGTATAAAATCCCTAATGACCAAGAATGCCTTCAGCCACTAGATGGTGTATCAATTCTGCCATTTAAAGGGTCTTGGTTGTTGAAATAAAAGATGTCATGAGCTGTTAAAGAGCTCAGATCTAACTCTCTTTGGCCTTCTTGGCATAACCCAGATCAAACTCAGTTAAATGAGCTGTTGGCAGACGCTGCCAAACAGCTGTCTAATCTCTCCTTTTAGCATGCTAGCCAGAGCCTAAATCACAGCACCCCCTACTAAAATCCGTATTTCTCTACTTCTTTAATCATTAGGCTACACAGATAAGCTTTGCTTGTTCTCCCTCTCCTCAGCCAAACATATTTCACATTCTGGCTGCAAAAAAGGAGCAATTTTACATAAGGGACAGTAAGAACTCCAGGGTAACACAACCTCCTCACCTTCCTTTAATCTTACTTCCACTCCAGAACAAAATTACTCCTCTTGACAGAATAAATGGAGGCATCTTGTCTCTGAAGAGGACTACAAGGTGGAGGCACTTCTCTACACTCTTCAGTTAAGTTGGTCCAAGGGAGCAGGAAAGGCTATAATGAGAACTAAGATGAGCACTGTAGCTGAAGTTGCTCTGAACTCGGAAAATGTGGTATGTTTTATTTGATCTAGCCTATTGGTTTTATAGATTCAGCAATGACAGGCTGCTAAAAGCACTATCCGTCAATCACATGACCGTTGCTCTACAGGGAGCAGTGATCCAAGGATCAGTCTTATTTGTGCCAGCAGAAGCCCCAGGTGGTCAGAAGCATGTGTAACAGAATAAAGAGGACTCCCAATGGCTATTATTAGATATCTGATCCAAACACTAAGAATCCTGGCTCAGCTATTCATTTGAGGCCATGGAGCCACTGTTAGGGTAACAGTTCTCAATTACTGCTATCTATTTTTGTTTCTCAGTAGGAGTCAAACGCTTCAATTTGCTGGTGGACATTGCTTGGTGAGTTTATGAACAGATTCTTAAAACACTGCTGTACTTCCCTTCTTTTGCTCGAAGTGTCCCTTTGTCAGGGCTGAACTTGCTGCTGTCTCATTACTGTACATGACAGCAGAGTGGTCAGGCTGCAGAGCAGTAACGGCACAGGGCTTGGCCAAGATCCACTTCACATGCACACACACATGCAGCCTCGGCAAAATGCCTGCCAAGCAGTATGGGCAGGCTGCCTGCAGCAACCTCCAGCCTGGGCAGCTGTGCAATTCAGCAGTGACCTCAGTGCTCCTCTGAAGTATTCTGGGCACTCCCAGTAGGCCTCTTGTCCTCATAGCATCATAAAATGGTTTGGATTCGGAGGGACTTAACAGCTCACCCAGTTCCAACTCCCTGCCATGGGCAGGGACACCTTCCACTAGACCAGGTTGCTCCAAGCCCCATCCAACCTGGCCTTGAGCACTGCCAGGGATGGAGCAGCCACAGCTTCTCTGGGCAGCTATAACCCCCGGCGAGGAACAGCTCCGGCAGAGGGGGTACGGCTGTGCGGGCACACCCGCTCCCCAAGCCCCGCCGGTGCCCGAGCTACCGCCGTAAAAGCACCGACCAGGAAAGCCCCGCCCATCCCGCCCCCCGCACCTCACGGCCCGCCGCCGGACACCGCTGATGAGGACACACGCACACCACACACCACACCCACCCACCCACCCCCCCCACACACACACTCCCACACACCCCCACACACTACACACCCACCCCCCCCACACACACCCCCACACACCCACCCACACCCCCACACACACAGCTCCCCTGGCGGCGGCGCTCTCTCACGCACACCCCCTTCTGCGCCCGGGGATTGGTGGAGAGGGATCACGCTCTCTCGCGAGATCCCTCCGCGCGTTGCCGCTCCCAGTAGGGGGGGGGCGCTGCGCGGGGTACGCGGCGTTGTGACGTATCGCGTCGTGGCGCTACCGGTTGTTTCTACCTGGGGCGGCGGTTAACGGTCGGTGCGGCGCGCGGGAGGGAGGAGCAGGCGGCGAGAGGGGCGGCCGTGTCCCTGTCCCCTTCCCCGAGGCAGTGCGGTCCGGTCCGGTCCGATCCGACCGGGCCCCGCAGAGCGATGATGGCCGCGGCGGCCGACCTGGAGTCCTCGCTGGAGCTGAGCCTGACGGGCAGCGGCGCGCTCCCCGGCGGGCTGCCCCCCGCGCGCTCTCGCATCTTCAAGATCATCGTCATCGGGGATTCCAACGTGGGGAAGACGTGCCTCACCTACCGCTTCTGCGCCGGCCGCTTCCCGCAGCGCACCGAGGCCACCATCGGCGTGGACTTCCGCGAGAGGGCTGTCACCATCGACGGGGAGCGCATCAAGGTACCGCCGCGGCGGGACGGGGAGAGGCGGGGGCTCGCACCCCCTCTCCGGCCCTCTGCGAGGCCCTGCGAAGCCGCCGGTGGTGGTGCTGGCCGCCTGTGCGGCCTGGTGCTGACCTCCGGCCGCTTCAGGCAGTGCCCCAGCGCAGGGTGCTTACAGGAGAGAGCAGCCCGGGCTCGGTACAAGGCTCCAGCATCGCTGTAGGCAGCAGCAGGGAGACCAGAATGCGTGTGCTGACATGCTGGGGCCGGAGAGGCTGCAGTTGACTTGAGAACTGGGTATTATAGCCACCATGCTGCTCGCCGGTGTGGTGCTGTTGCACGGGAGGGCTCGTAGGCTCTCCTTCATACTTCCATACCCCAAAAGTTGAGTGTTGTTCTGTTGAATGGGTTCGCCTGTATCAGCTCTGAAACTTTGTTTAAAACTATTTTGCCTTGCTCCTATTGGAAATGTTATTAACACGTAGGTTTCTAAAAATTCCTACCATAGGCCAAACCTTTGTACAGCTTTTTAGCAGGTGTTAATCGGTAATTTTTCCTTAAAATGGACTTCAAGTTGATTGCATATCTACTAGTAACTTAGCATTGGCTGTGCCTGGTATCAGCAGCTTTTTGCCTCCCAGAAATTCTGCTTCTCTGTTTATCAAGGATCACACCTACTTGGCTTTCAGGTCCACAAAGCTATGCAGATATTACTGCAATAAGCGTTTTACAAATGTCCCATTAAGAAACTGATCGTTGCTCAGGAGTGAACTGCTACTGGTCCGGTAGAAGGTGTCCCTGCCGGTGGCAGGAGGTTTGGAACTGGATGATCTTTAAGGTCCCTTCCAATGGTAGCAATGTGTTACAGCTTTTAATTTATTTATTTATTATTTTTATTTAGGATTCTGTTAATATTGCTGCATGTTTAGGCAAGTGTGGTACAGAACTGGAGTATGACAGGGTGGATACCTAGCTCACATCTGACTCTTGGTTTTCACTCTGATTATAGGTTTAGCTAAAGCTTAGTCTTAAAAAATTAAATTTAGTGAAAAATTAGATGGAAGAAATGGTATTTTGTCTTCTTTGCACAGTAAACGCTCAGTAGATACATAAATGTTAGTGGTGATCATTGCAGACATTTGCAAATTAGACTACTAGATGCTTACAAATGCAGTTTGCTTACTAGGAGTAACACAATTTTGAACAGAATCCCCTTCTACTTCAGTTTTACAGTGTGTTTCTATCAGCAAAGTTTAATAACGTAGAAAAAGGGAGTAACAGTAGTCTTGGAATTGTATTTTTATTGAATATATTTATGACTATCATCATCAGGTTTTGTAATTACAATTTACAGTCATAGCTGGAGGCTGTGATTTTTCCTTGCTCACTTACAAATTAATAAATTGCAGGGGGCATGCAAGTCCATTTGCTTTCCTTTCTCTTCTGCTTTTTTTTAGCTCATATCCTTCTTTTTAACTAAAACCAAAAAATGAGTAAGAGTCTTTGTTAATCTTTTTCTTTATAAAACCACTGAAAAGCACTTCTTTGGCTGATGGCTGAGATTCTGTACTCCGTAATCCATTGCTGTCCATGATGGAGGAGAGAACCTCCTGAGGAATGTCTTCTTGTCAGCACCATCTTATTGACTAGCATTTCCACTACCTCTGGATTATGCTTGACCTTTGTTGGAGAGAAGTGAAGAAGAATATAGCTTAATCCACAATTCTGAGGTGCTTCACGAAAGTTATTGTGCCATTTTGTTACATATGTTCTGGTAGGTTGTTTTGCAGTGTTCTTGGAAATATTACCTGATGAATATATCAGTTCTAGTTGAGGGAGGTAGAAAACCGAAGGAGGCTCTTTTGACACACATTGTTTTTGCAGGAAGTTCTGTTTCAGCTTTAAAAGGAATAAACTTTATTGTTATGACCAGGCCTCCAGCTCTTAGGGGATGCTGTATGTGGTCAAGTATGCACCAGTTTTGGGGGGGGGGGCGGGGTGCCACCTCTTGTGCATCTTCACCTTTCCTGGTTGTAGCACTGAGCTCCAGCAATGCCAGGAGGGAGAGAAGCTCAGATGACCCAAATTAATGCCTGTTCTTGCTGTGCCCTGAAGGGATTTTTTCCTCTTGCACTGAAGGATATTATAAAGTAGTGTCTTCTCTTTCTCTCTTCTCCTTTCCCCAGCCAGCTGGATGGTCATTCTTGTGCTGCTACAGTACTGAGCATTTCCTTTGCAGCTGGAAAATGCTGTGTCACTAGCAGGAACACAAGCACAGTTCTTCTTGACAGGGGTCTCCCACACAGGACTTGTGTAGAAATCCAGGACATGGGGATGAGTGTATTCCTCTGTACCTTGTACAGTAGGCTAACAGCTTCAGATGAAATACTGATGCCTGAATGTGCTGAATAAATTAAACTTTTCAACAATTTTTTTCACTCTAAATTTTCCTAAATTGATCTCAGCATTGAAAATCGAAGAAAACAATGATGTCAGTCTTTACTGACCTACATTAACAGAGCAAAGGATGCAGATGAATTTCAAAGAAGGAAGTCCAAACATCACGACCTATACCTTTGAGCTCTTCAAGTTTTTTTTCCCCCACATCTTGTAAAAGGAGACATAGTTTACCATTTATCTTTTATTAAAGGCCAGTTATGTTTTTACCAGCATGCTATAAACTATGTGTGCTAAGAGAGTCCTTGTTTAGAAAGCAGCCTTTCTGGACCCATAAAAAGGTGTCAGAAGGTGGGAGGTGCTAGCTGAGTCTATATGTTTAAGTACCATTTGTCTTTCTGGGGGAGTGTGGCAAAGTGAGTCTGTCCACAGTTTTATTAGCAGAATTATGCTGTTAAACCAGATTTTTGAATCACACATTTTAAAGGGTATTATAAAAAATGAGCTCCCTTGAAAATGGGTGGTATTGAACTAATGAAACAGTAATCTTAATTCATCAATGCACATCTATTAATTTAGACCTTTTCAGTGCTATTTTTCAGTAGAGCAAATATTTGGGGAGGGGGCCCAGAAATTGAGTGGTTTCCTCAAGTTCAGCTGGTAAGAAGAGAAAAAAATACTTATAAAGTGTGAAATTGTAAGTGTTGGGGAAGGGTTTGCCTCTCAGTACAAATGATTGTGTGCCAAGAATATTAACATTTTGTATTTCAGATAATGCCCTTCAAGCTTGAAAGCTGCAGGTAAATAAAATTTAGGAGCAACTGTAGCTTAAGCTTAACTTGGAAGAGAGGTAAACCTTTTTATTTTCTCCTTCTCTACTTAAGGCTGGCAATACACTTGCAGATCTGTGCTTGACTGAAAGATGACTGATTTCTGCTCTGTCAGGTAGGGAGAGAAGTGTAAGCTCACAGCTGCCTGTGAAAATGAGCTCCCTTTTTAAATTAATTTGATATAGTGTTTTCCAAGATTATTTAAGTGATTTTTTAACATTATGTTATCTGAACATGAAGATTATTGCTGCTTTCTTCTTTAATTTGTCAGATTCCAAATTAACTAAAATTTTATGTGAGTCCCCTGACTTTAATGTTTTATAAGCGCATAGAAGTATCTCTCATCCGTGTAGGTGAATGAATCTTACCTAAACTTAGGTGCCTGTGTTCAATCTGATTGTCTAGACTCCCTTAACAGACCATGGAGATGCAGTCAATTGTGTTTAGAGTGTAATTGGCAAAAAGCAGGTAGGTATTTGCTCTAAAATGAGAAGGCTTGCAGCTGACTACCATTTTCTGTGATCAGAGGCTGTGGTGACTTGCCGTGCTTTTCTCAATAATGTTAATGATCCTCTTAGAAGCAACACATGGATCTGTATAAGTCTGTGGATCAGAAGCTGTAGATAACTGGATGACAGAAGCCAAACTATTCTGATGTTCTCGTGTAAATTCTCAGTTCTGATGAAACCAGTAACTGTCACTTCCACCTGCTTCAGCCTGAGTTTTTCTCTAGGGTGGGTAACCAGGGTTGAACATATTACTTCAGAAAAAGGTACACCATCTTGAAACATCACTTACTCTTTTTCCTTCACTCTATCACACTAGTGATTCATACCGTCCCGTGATTGACTCATGTATCTGGATCATCATCCATTTTAATAATTTCCAAACTGATGAATCCTGCAGTTATAGGGAAAGTCTTTATTGTTAGTCACTGTTATGAAGACTTTGCATCAGCTTCTATTCAGTTTCAACTTATTTCTATTGTTCCAGCTTTCAAAAAATTTATGGGATACTGTAATCTTCCTCTTTATCAGTGATGCATCTTCTTGCCATCAGCAGATTTTTCCCTGGCACTTGTTTTCCTTGTTTCTAATATCAACATCACTGTTAAAACTGGTGAGCGAGGCAACTTTCAAGGCACTTTCAATTTGTAAGTTTTACTGAAACATTTGGATCAAAGGGATACAGAACTGTGATAATGGGAGAACAGTTTCATCAAGAGGAGATACCAGCTGTACCTTTCATAAGAGTAGATTGAATTTTAATTTTATCCTTATTGTTTACAGAATGTTTAATACTCCTTGAATTCTGAGTCTCAAGAAAAACTCTCATTCCCAGGGAGAAAACATTTCTTTCTGACATTCTCTTCTCAAAAGTTTAAAAGACGAAGTGCTGATCAACTGCCTCAGCAATCAGGGATCAGCTGTACAGGACAGACAGGAAGCAAGGACTTGGCTTTGACCCAAGAAATTAAATGTTGTCTCAGGGTTAACACCATCACTAAGGTGTGCATGATAAAGCTCCAAACTAGTTTATTTCTTATGGTGTACAGTTAATCTTGCCATGCAGGTGAACTGGTCTGACTGCTGTACATTGCAGTCCCACATCTCCTGGACAGCAAGGTTGTTAAAACACCACTGTGTCCAATTAGTACACAGTTCTGGAGCGTACTCTGTGCATCTTTGGACTCTTAGCTTCCATTATACTAGGATGAGTGACGCATTTAAAATCTTTATTAACTGTTACTTATGTCTGCTTGTGTTTCAAGGCTTGTTTTGTTTTAGTCTGGACCTAAGAAATTTGAAAGCATTTTAGTTCTTCTGACTGTTTTTCTGTCCATTACACTTCACTAGGCTTCAGGCAAATATGTTAAGTCTGTTTCTGATAGAATGATGTGAACCTGGAAACAATAGTAGCATGTTAGGATAAGAGGAGGTTTATGCTTCCCCCCACCTTTTATGAATTAAACTGTGGTTTACTATACTAAGCGTTAAGTTAGAGATTCATAACAGGAGGGTATGATTCTAGTGGATACACTGCAGAGATAGATTGCTTTGTTCTGTTGGTGCTGGTATTATTCATGCATGGTTTGATTTCTTCCTACTTTTATATAGTACCGCAGTAGGCAGTTAACTTCATGCTAAAAGCAAAACTTTAGGGAAGATGACGTTATTTTTTCAATTAAAAAAATAACATCATCTGAGAGTTGTGCTGTGAAATACCTGTTGTTTTTCTCATATTAAAGTGCTATTGCAAAAACTTCAGGATTTGCTTTTGTAAAAATCTTACAAACTGCTCCAGTAAACTTAAGAAATTCCTATTTGGGATCAAATTTCATCATAATTTCTTCTTGGCTTCAATTGTGAGCATCTTTGAAAGCAGAAGTTTCTGAAATTGTGTAAAAGCAACAGTTTTCTTTGGCACAAACTTCTCAGTATGATTAATTCTGAAGAGTGGATTTCTGTGATCATGTGGCTCCCCTAGCTACAGGTGATTTGTATTATTTTCCAACATGAGTAATAAAACATCTTTTTTCTCTCATTGTCTTTCCCTTTTCAGATCCAGCTGTGGGATACAGCGGGCCAGGAGCGCTTCAGAAAGAGCATGGTGCAGCACTATTACAGGAATGTACATGCCGTTGTGTTTGTGTATGATATGACAAACATTGCCAGTTTTCACAGTCTGCCATCATGGATAGAAGAATGCAAACAACACCTTCTTGCCAATGATATACCACGGATTCTTGTTGGAAACAAATGTGACCTGAGAAGTGCTATTCAGGTACCTACGGACTTGGCCCAGAAGTTTGCCGATACTCACAGTATGCCGTTATTTGAAACCTCTGCCAAAAACCCCAATGACAATGACCATGTGGAGGCCATATTTATGACACTGGCTCACAAGCTTAAAAGCCACAAGCCGTTAATGCTTAGTCAACCCCCAGATCGCGATGAAATACATATAAAGCCTGAACCAAAACCTGCTATGACATGCTGGTGTTAAATTGTACAGCTGTCAGCTGTCACCTTGTCTAGTTTGCAAATGCTTCAAAATTATGATCTTGGCAAAGTTCTAGGTTTTGGTAACAATTACAGCAAATCTCTTTGGCACTTTAATGTGGGTGGTTTTTTTTAATTTCCTGGTGTAGATGTGCCCATCTCATGTTTTTTTGCACTTTGTAATTGTACTTTCAGAATTACTGAAGTTTCACTATAGATATACGGGAAAGTAAACTTGCAAGTGAAGTTTTGACAAAGCAGTTCTACTTGAGCTCTTGCTGCCTGAGATTGTTTTCATCACTTGTGGTAAGGTTATAAATAGTAAGCCAGTTTACTAATACTTTTGGTTGCTACTTGCATTTGAATAATGTAGGAGAAAAGTGTTTTGTGACAGCCAGGCAGCTTGATTTTTGGGTCAGAGAGGGGGAGGTTTTTGGCATATGGAGGAATATTTGGTGACTGCTAGCAAATTGCTAAGCAAGTACCTTCTGCTTTAAAAATAAAATCCCAGGACTGTCAGGTGAAGTCTGGGCTGTCAGTGTAGGAGCAAACTGCTAGCTTTTGGCCTGTCATTCCACTGTAAACTTCGTTTCCTCATGCAATGGTAAGAGAATTGACAAACTTGTCCCTACCTCTATATACTTAAAACTTCCTTTTTTTTTTTTTTTTCCCCATGATTAGCATGTAAAACTCAACTATGCATTCCTTCTTATGGAAAGTACTGTAGCACAGGATTTAGGGTAAACTTGGGACTATAACTTCTCTGACCGTACTAAAACTTCAGTGAGGATATATTTCTGAAGATGCTGTATTTGACTTGAGTCCCAGGGTGAGTAAAAACACTTAGTAAAAGATTGACTGAAGTTGGCAAAAGCATGCTGATTTTCAAGGATAGGGATTTCAGAGGGTTTTGATGATGATGAATGCTTCTCAGATACCTTGAAAAAGGTTTTTACAACCAATCTGAGTGATAACATATTTTAGGGATGGAAATGTTTAGGAAAGAATGTTAGGAATATGGGACTTTCTTAAAATACTTCTGAATGCAAAATAAATTAGATCTTGAAATACGGAGAAAACCTGCCCAATACATTATCTGTTACAGATTTTTGAGCTAAAACCTGTTTGTGTAATGGCATGGCTGAATGCAGGGCATCTGTGGCATTACTATTGTGAGTTGGTAATGTTTTGGGTCAGATGAGGGAAGTTATTCCTCTAGAGCCACCTTCTGTGTTCTCATAACTGTAGCTGGTATATAATCTGAAGGTCAAGTTTCATAATAAAAATGGTGCTAGATTGCACATAATTATGTAAGGTGAAACGTAAGCCATAGAATGCAGTCTATGACTTCATTTCTGTGCCACGCCAGACAATGTTTTCTGGCTTAGTTTTTGAAGGAATTGAAATAAAAATGAGGATTTTTGTGTGCAATGCTGACAGGAAACTAAGTGGAAGGGCCAGTTCAGAAGCTGCCACCCTTGTGATCACATTAGAAACAAATCATTGAAACAAGATAACTAATACTATTTGAACTATTATAGTTAGTAATATGTAATTCTATTGCAAGTTATACTGAAGGAAGAAAAATGCATTGACTTTTTTCTATATTTAAAGCATTCAGCTTGGTCTCATATGGTTAAAATATAAAGCTGCTATAACCATGACAGTAATTTTGTTTAGGACGCATTTGTAAAAGGGAATTTTTGTATTCACTCTGAACCTTATATGACTAGAATTTGGTTTACAGTCCTTTCAGAAACAGTCAGCTTTTTAACACTAGTGTCCTTAATGATTTTTTAAGAAAAGGATTAATCTTAAATTCGTGTTTATACTGTTGTAAATAAATATGGTTTACAGTCCTCTTGGACAATTTGTTTTTCACTCATGTCCTTAATTCTTTTTCTCAAAGGGATCCATGTTAACTGTTTGCATAGTATGTCAGCAAACTTTTTTTTTTTTTTTTTATTAAAAAATGACAGAATGAAGAATTCCAAAGTTGGTCAGGTTGGGGGTTGAGGTAAGAAAAGTATGGAGCTGCAATGTTAAATTTGATATCAAACATCTGCAAATCTGTTAAGCTTTGAGTTATTCACAACCTGTAAATAAGGGCCCTCATGTCATTAGACTTGTGTGGAAGCAGTGTTTAAATATGTAATTTTGTCTTCAGCACAAAGCATGTTTTAATGGTTCTGCCATAAGGGTAATGTGGTCAGTAATGCAGGATTCAGTATGCTTCCTGGCTTTCAGTGGTAACGTGCTGCCCACAACATTGATGTCAAAAGTACTGAATACTTTGTCTATGTATTTTCACTTTACCAAATTGTAAAGTTGGATCATTTTCTATGTGTTGATGGGGAGGGCAAGACATAATCCCAGAAACCTAATAAACTGGCTTTGCCACAAACTGTTGTCACTTTTTCTCAGTAATTATCCTAGGAATGATGATATAATTTCTCATGGTAAAATCCATTAAAATACTGTAAGGGAGGAAAAAGGGTTTCTAGTTTCTGTTTGTGTGGGTGACAGTTGTGCAGAAGACTGTCATGATACTTGGACTACTGTCAGTGCTTTCTTGCCATGGCTCTGAGTTGTTTTGACGCATCTGAAGCAATTACCTGATAATACAGAGGCATGCTTTGGTTTTATTTCGGGTCCCAGAAAAATGAGAAGTGATACAACAGTTATAAAACTAGGAATTACTGACTGTTGGAGGTATGTAAAGACCCTAAAGGAGTTTTCTCCATTACTCTTCTCTTAGTCTCGCCTCATGTTCAGAAATAAGAGCTCTTAATTTCACATATGGGTGGGACTTCTTTATTTCAAAAGTCTTGCTGGTTTCCATCCACGTACATACGCACATATGGAGCAAGGCTTCAGTCCCAGTTAAGCTGGCTTCTTGGTAAATGTCATAGCCCTTTGCCCAAAAGGGAGCTCTCAAATAGTTTGTGTTTATACTGTTTTATTACTGTCCTGTTTATTCTCCTGTTCCAGTTCCTCACTTAATATTGTATTAAAAAAATAAAAAAAGGTAAAGCATTGTAGATGGCTTGCCTCTTTAAACGAGATTGAAGTCATCACTGCTCACACAGGCTGTATTGAACAGCTAAAAGAGTTTGCCTGTTGAATGTGCATTTGTGCTCTGGGAGTAACCAGAAGCAGCCTCAGTAGACTAGCAGCAGTGCAATGAAGTTGTGAGCCCTTGTGCTAGGCTGACGCTACATCAGACTGCATAGGAAGGAAGCAGTATTTGGCTTGGAAAGGCAGGAGGCCAGCATACAGACTCCATATGTGTCCTAGTATTCATGCAAACACTTGCTGCACATTAGGGTTTTCTTGGGGTTTGGAAGGGGTTTATGTCTCATGTCTTCCTCGTGATGCTATAGTTAAGCAGCACCAAAATGCATGGGTGTTTTTTTGTTTTTTTTTTTTGCATATACTGTGATCTCCTGAAAGCAAAAACTGCTGATCCAATGTACTGTCTAAAATACATAGTTAGTAAAGAATTTGGAAGATGAAATTGCTCCACCATTTATAAACCAGTAATTTTAAAAGATTTCTGGGTGTACTGAAAATAGATAAGGCCCCCTAGTGAAAGTAGTATCTTTCACCTTATTTCAACTCTAAAATATGGCTTAATGATCTAAAACTCAGTTAAGCTCTGACTTTGGAAGGGAGTAAAGTTAGGAGTTCATACAAGAAGCAGGTTAGAGGCAGCCCTGCCTTCTCCACCTCTTCTCTCTCTGACCTTCATTGCCTTCACCCGTGACTTATCCGGGCTTTCCCACCCAGAATTGGCAAAACTGAACAGCAGAAAACATCACAACTGTTTTCTTTCAAACACTGCAGTTTTGCATAATGACAGAACTGATCAGTGTAATGCTCACTCCTAGACCAACAATTGCTGAGTTTGTGCCTGTCTCCCATAATATTTGATGATGTGCTGGGAGGGCAGCTCCTCTCTTTTACAACTGGTTATAGACTCTTGTTATCTGAGTCATCTTGTTTGACACACAGTTGTCATCTTTAAATTGTAACCTTGCACTATCATTTTTCCTGACTGAACATCTGCCAACTTGCTGCTTTTATACATACATTGGAAATCATATTCCTTGTCCCCTCTCACTTCCACCTGAATATATAGTTCTAATAGTCTTTTCTTTTTCTTTCCAGAGTCCTGTTTTCACAGGACCACCTTGATTCTCAGATAAAAAGTAGGGTCACATATAATTTTAAAATAGTAGTAATGTTACTTCTACAATGGCAGCCTAGTTTTCTATGCAAATCAACACAAAACCTACTTGTAATCTTTAAAGTTGTAGATAAGATGAGAAATGGCCATTATTCTAGGACTCACAAAAAACCCACTCTTTTGAGTTAGGGTTTGTTTTTTTTCTCATCTCTTGGCACCGGTTGCCTGAAGGAGGCTTCTCATTCATGTGGATGAATGGCAGCATCAGTGAGGGCTGTGAAGCTACATTGAGAGGGAAAGAATTGCTGCTGGTTCCCAGTGATGTCCTGGGGGTCGCTGGGCTCTCTGTACTGCCTCCCAGCTGCAAAACCAGTGTTGCAGAGGCTGACACCTATTGAAGCCCTTGCTGAAGGCAGCTCCTTGTAGTTCAGGAAGATATTGCCAGAGCCCAAAGGAAGGCATGTAAAAGATGCAAGCCATCCAGGGACACCCACTGGGGTGCATAATCCTGCTCTGTGTGTTACCAGCCTTTGCTGAATCACCACCAGTTAACATGAATCTTGAATGGTAGAATACTTAGGTAATCATTCAAAATGAATGAAAAGCAAATTTCCCAGCAATACCAATGATCATTTCAGAAACTCATAATCCTTGTCCTGTCCTGCTCTTCTCATCCCTGAAAAACAACCCAGAATGAATGTAATATGACCCCTGAAAAACAACCCAGAATGAATGTAATACGTAAGCCTGGGGAGAGAGGTACAGTGGTGATCACTGACCAGAAATACGGCTTGTCGTTGCAACTAAGAGTGAGAATGTCAAATAGATAAGAGTCTCAGGGTAAGCAGGCTGATTAGTACAGACACTGTTTATCTTAGTACCAGCAGAAGTGGTCCAGGCTTGAGCTGTGCTCACCTCAGTGGAAAAGGCTGTTCTGTGCCTCTAGCTACAGCAGTGATAGCTGCTTCACCTGCCCTCAGCTCAGAAAGCAACCAAGCAGACCAGTATCAACCATTCAAAAAGAAGTAGCCTGCTCTCTCTTCCCCAGAATTAACTATTATAAGATTGGCTTTGAAATAAATGGTCCATCTTAAAAAAGTTGAGGGGTCCTGTCAGCTTGCATCTTATTTTGAAAGCTGTAGGGTGCACTTGGATCTCACAGTTTGGGTTTCTGTTAAAAGATGGAGTTTGAAAACAGATGATGTTGCTGTTGTTTCAAAATGTATAAGCTAAAACCCCACCAGAATCTTCAGGTAGTTACTTGCTCCTGGAGAATCAAGAAAAAGCAACTACATTCGACAACACTGAAGAGCTCAAGGGGCTTCTCTTATCTGCCCATCATACTCCATCTTTCTGTACAGTCAATTCATATCAGGTCCTGGTTTAAAACAAGGAACTCTATAGCACTGCAGCAGCCCTCCCTCTCTGTTTGAGAGTAAAAGCAGTACATTGGATAGTCAGATCTTGGTTTTTCTTTCTACTAATACTAGTATTTTTCAGTAGGAGGTATACAGAATGTCAAACAAAAGGATAAGCATTGTCTTTCTTGTCTTTCTAACAGCTTGTAAGTTCCTTTTTAAACAGACTTTGTGTTTCAGATGCTGCCAAACCCCTGAAAAACAGAAGTGTAGCATAGATACAGCCATAAACACACAAAATCACAGTAACATGGATCCCAGATAGCCTGTCTGATTACAGCCTGTGTTCTTCATACACACGTGTGTGCACATACTCATGTGCATGCATATACACACGCAGAGGTTTTAAATAAAAAGCAGGAGACACCTGGTGTGAATGTAAGCATATGAAAAGTAAGAGTCATAAGACCGTGATCTTAGCTCAGTACTTCCTTTTGTTTGTTTGGGCTTTTTTATTTCTGACTCTGTGCATTGCCTCTTTTAAAAGGTCACAGGCAGAAAAAAAGGCTCTGTTGTGAGGCAATGTGGTAAACTCCCTCTCAGTGGATATTTTTAGTTATTTACTTTTAAAAATATCACACTGTTCACGTGCTGTGCGAACTATTTTCCTCTCCTTGTCTGAGTCTCAGTTGTCACTTGGAGTGTAGACACCTGGAGCTGGATGGGCTTTTTCCTTCAGCTCCCTTATTTCTCCAAGTCCCTGGGTGGCAGCAGGCTAACATCGGGATGTTAGCAATGTACAGGCTGCTGAATGTGATTTAAACCCTCATCTTTAGCCTTCATTGAGGGGAAAAAAATCAGCCAAAGCTTAGTGCTACCAAATGAACCTGTCAGGGCTTAAGTTCAAATGAAGTTATGTTGTGTTTTATGCACCAGAGTTAAACTGGAAGTCCTAGCCCAGGGATGGTAGTACTGCTAGGATTTTCTGAAGGGTTAAAGAAAACCCTATACATGTCTATGGAACAGAATTTCTGCTAGCATGTGACTAAATGGGTGGGTGACTTCAAATAGTTGGTGGTAAAAATAGGGGAATGTGTATTATATGCTGTCTGCACACTTAGACTTGTTCCTAAACATTTAGGGTTGTTTCTTAGGGGGCTTTTGGCCAGTAAAGCCTGGCTGCCCATGCTTTCCAGCCACTGTCTACCCAGGGGACACCTATCAGCCCTGCTTCAATTGCCTATGCCTCTCCCAGCAGAGCTGAGGGCAGGCAGTCTTGGCCCTAGGGCCATTGAAGAAAGGTGGAGGTACAGGTTGACATTCTTGGTTGCTCTTGTGTAAAAGCCTAGTCACCTCCACACCCCTCACACCCACCCCTGTGAGGTATTGAGGTGCTGCTGTTCTTGTCTTTTGTAGAGCTCCAGGCCCCAGAGCTTTGCTTAGTCCAGGAAGGGCACACAATGAGAAGAAGACTAAACTGACCCTAAAATACATGCAACAGCTTTTCCATTGACTTCATATTTTTAACCCACGCATAAATCAGAGGCAATGTAGGGTTCCTGGCTTCAGCAACTGAAGATTCAGCTGCAGATTAAAAAAAAACATTTGCTAATCAGAGGGGATTTTCAAGTTCCTGAATTTGATTATTCATCCTCATCACTACCATGAAGTACTAACTTTGATACCAAGCTAATATCTGAGTCACTGTGATGCTGCTGTTAAAAAGCACAATGTTGGCAGCCCTTGTGATTGGTTTCTAAGGCTTGCCATAGTTGTGCTTTTCTCAAACCGCATCTGAAGCAAAATAATTCATTTCAAAAGTTTCAGCTTTCATGAAATAGGTATATTTCATTTTTA